ACAGCAGTGGTCAGGAGGAAGGTTTCAGCAGAGTTTTCATGGGTGTGCTCCCCGTGGTGAAGAGTCACCGAGCTACACATCAGGATTCGTGCACTTTTAGTTCTGTAACCACCCTCATGGCACTTGACACACCTGACTGCTTTTCAGACCCGGGTCAGGAATCCCCTAGAGCGGAAGCTGTTTTCTGAGGAGGAATAACTTTGGCATGGGAAAAAGGTGATGGTGTTTAAGGGGGAAGAGGACTTAACTTCTCCGTAATTGATATTAATCTGAAACACAGAAAACAGTCTCTCCATATTCTTTCTAAAGTGGACAACTTATACTTTCCCAGCTGAATACAATATCGATGAAATCGTCACTAGAAAAATAAATGTCTAATTCCTACCGCTTGATGGAAAACAATCTGCTCTACAAAAATCCTAGAAAAAAGCTGACCCTGTCTCTCTGGCTTTGTGGTGGGGCTCCATGGCTGTAGCTTGCTACCTTCTGATCACTGGGGCCTGTTGCCTGCTCCACCATCTCAGCTCTGAACACACGTGGGTTTATGCATGTGGGAGAAGGCAGGGGAAGGATGTTATGAGCACACCTAGGCCTTCTTCATCCCAGGCTAGCAGAGTAGAATCAGGAGACTTCTGTCATTATCAGGTTGGAGCTACAGAACAGGAGTACTGTCCCACACGCCTGGTGCCCCACCTTCAGGTTCCTCATTTACTGTTAGGAAAGCAACAAATCAGGAGTACAGGAGAAGGTGAAGACTGAAGTCTCCTAAAATCTCTTGTTCTTCATTCTAAAGTCCCTGTGGAAAGCTAGGATCAAACTTTCATTGGCAATGCCCATTCAATATTTTCCTGAGTCTCCCACCTGCCTCCGTTTTAATGTCCCATCCATCAAGATCACTCAAAACTTTAAAGGAAAACAAATCGAATAACTAAATCAAACATTCATTAACAAAGATTTTTTTAAGAAAAGGGGAATTTATACAATTAAGCTTACATTCACTTGAACAAGTAACTACAGAAAAGTGAGTCATACTTTCTATTGTTCTAAAGGCAGAATCAATAGGGAGACTCAAAGTAGCTCTTGGCTACTCAGGAAGAAATAAGAGATAAGAGATAATCACTATCTTTTCTCTTTGTTTCCCCCTACACACATACATATTCAATTATCATTTGTTATTTTCACAATAGGAAAAAAGTACTTAGGACTTTTTATAAGAACAAACCCTGACAGATGAAGGCAGGTTGCTTTTAGAACTGAAGGAAATACAAACATGAAAGATGGGATGGCCTAGAAAAATACTGACTAGAATAAGCCAGACACAGAAAGAAACGCACTGCATGAGTCCACTGACGCGGAGCATCTAGAAGAGTTACACTGATGGAGTGAGTCTGGGAATGGTGGTTGCTAGGAGCTGAAGGAATTAGGGGATGAAGTTTCAGTTAAAGGAGGTGAATGAGCCCCAGGGACCTAAGTCAAGAGTATTGCACTATATACCTAAAAACATGTTAAGAGGGTGGATCTCAGGTTAAGTGCTCTTATCACAATAAAAAAAAATCAATAAAATGCAATGGAGGGTTTAATGCATCCAGGACAGGACAGGACCTGAGGCTGGGCCTAAGTTTTTATTATTAAAATTAACAAAGTCATTATATTATCATAAATAAAAAATACTTGACAAATGAAGCCACTCAGATGGTCAATAAATACATGAAAATAGGCTCAATGTCTTTAATCATTAGAGAGAAGCAAATTAAAATCACAGAATTCCATTCACAAACACTACATGGCTAAAATCAAAAAGATGAAAAAGAATAAATATGGGTGAGCCTATGGAGCATTGCAACAGTGCTGACAGGAATGAAAAATGGTACCACCACGTTAAAAAACCAATGTGCCAATTTTTAAAAAGTTAAACATATATGAACTCTACAACCTAGAAACTCCATTCCTCACTACCTGCCAAAGGTAAATTAAAACATGTTCACAGAACATCTGCACGAGAATGGCTAACATGCCCTTGTTTATAATAGTCAAAAAACTGGAGACAAGCCAAAGGGCAGCTGATTCCCATCAGTGCATACCCACTTTGCGGTACATTTACATAGTCAATCTACTGACCAACAGAGACACTACCAATGCATGAACCAATCTCAAAAATGGGCTCAAGAAAAAACAAGACACAAAGTTCTATATACTATATGATTTATTTTGTATGAGATCCAGTAACAGAGAAAATAATTTATAGTGATACAAACCGGGAAGTTGTTGCTTAGGGATAAGAACCTGTCTGGCAATGACCCCTAGGTCTTCAGGACTATGGCAACATGTTGAGAGGGTGGATGATGACAGGCTGTAACTAAGTCTCAAACAAGACCCACGTAATTTAACACCCACGATCTACAAATCTGTTGTATGATACTCATACCTCAAAATTACACTGTTTATCATATATCATAATGATACACTATATATAATTTTTTATTATATACTTTAAAAAAAGGACATAGGAACTAATTTAAGAAGTTCCAATTAGCCAAGGGCAAGATAACTTAACACTGGACAGAATAATATCTGCAGCTGTCTAAAACCCATCTGACATGTAATGCCAAGAAAAAGATTTACCTTCCCAGGCTGAGAACACTGAGGGCCTACAGGATTCAGGCCCTCTCAGGGCCAAAAAAAAAAAAAAAAAGGTAAGGGCAGATATAATGGTACTCATTCCCTGAATCTGTCACTGTTTAACTTTCCACTGTGAATGAAAGTGCTCCATGTTCTCTCTCCTCTGAGGGCCAGATCTAGCCCTGAATATCCAGTGGCATCTGAAGCAAAGGGACAAGAGGTCTGGTGTCAAAGGCCTTGTCCCTCCTGGGCCTGAGGGAGGGAGAGAAGGTCCTACCATTGCTGTTTCCATCAGCTCTATCCCCACGTAAGCCTGTTCCTCTTGTCCGGCCTATGTCAGCCTGTCTTCCTTCCTTCCACTCCAAATGTATAAATGTTTCACTTTGTCTCCAATTGGAGAAGACTCTTTAAAAATGCATGTTTTGTTGCACAATTACAGGACTTTACATTGCAGATATGGATGTTAAAATAATAAACACATAAGAGAATACAAGTGGTGGTCCACAAACTATGTGTTGGCTCTTTAAATCTGCATATTTTTTCCTTTCACTGTGAAGCCCTTCTGTTAAAAATACAATTAAGAGGAATTATGTTTAGTCACCTGTATCCAATTAGTTTAACGGTTAGGACTTGGATATAATGAGATTTATTCCAAGGATTTAATTCCCACATGAGGCAGTTATTTTCATTCATTTCCCTATTGGAGACTCTACCCCTACCCAAGCCAGCCATGTCCCACAGTGTAGAGTGTGAGCCACAGAAAACACCTCATTACAACAAGAAAAATCAATGAAAAGTACACTGTTTTATTGAACATCATATGTGGACAAACAGTTGTTAGATAAATTACATAAGTCTTCTTGGAAGAGTTCTGAAAGTTTACTTAAAAAATGTGCTTAAAAACAACAGGTGTGGTTGCTTTGAAATTAATAATGGTATCCACTCCCTAAATCCAGTATTGTTTTACATTCAATTGTGAATGAAAGTGTTCATGTTATCTTTCCTATTAGTATTGGGCCCGATCCAATAAAAATAATCAATATGGAAATCTATAGTTTTTCACAACCACACTAGATGGTTTTTATGGGTCAAGAGACAGGTGGGAAGTACTCGATTAAGATCCTTCTGCGGTTCTGTTTGTGATTATGCTCATGAGCCATGCTGACCCTTAGAGAAACACTCCACACAGGACTGTTTGCATCAAGCAGGCTACAGGCATGGGACAAGCAATACCCACTAACTGGCCCCAGCACTCCACAACACACACTAGAGTGTTTTCCTACATTGTCCTTAATGGGTCTTGGAGAATACTGCTAGATGCACTTACAGTTATAAAATAAAGGAGAAAAGACCATTAGGAATTTAAATTGTCTCCAAGGCTGTCACTATTACATATTTTTTGATAATGCATCTAGTCCCCAGACATCCATATTAGCATGTCTAATCTCAAAGCAAACATGCCTTCTTCCTAGTAAGCAACTGGCTGCTTTCAAAATGCGGCTCCAACATTAGGGACCCGATGTTAAACATTTTGATAAATAAAGAAAATAAAGAAAGAAAGAAAAATACATCATTTCAAAATACATATATTTAATGCATACCTAGAGTATGTTGCATCATATTTGTTTTTTTTTGCCACAAATAGGTGACTTCTCAAACTATAAACATTTTGATATAACATATGATAGAGATGGAACAACATTCATAACTAGTCTACTTATATCTACACTATAAATCCTTGTGTTTGCCAATGAGTTGAACTACAAACACGTTAGCAATGAACTAGATTTAAAACCTGCTTCCATCAAACATATTCTCTCATCTAAAAATAACTCACCCATGCAAAAATCAGGAAACCAGACAGTGCAGATAGCAAATCATTAAGAAATAAACTATCTCCTAAAATATATATCCATGCTTAACTTAGAAGTAATTAAGTTAGAGCAAATTATATTGGGCTTTACTTCACACTAATATAAAATCTCACATCTTCTACAACAGAGAATATATTTCTTTTATGAGATCAGTTTTTATTCATTTAAAGTATTCAAATAACAACTCAAATTGCCATTTGAAGTTTTATTTTAGCCAATGTTCAAAGTCCTCACAAATATCGATATTTGATAATGCTACTTAATGAGGCTTTGAAGTAGTAGAATGAGGGTTTTTAAAATAAGAATAGATGGATGTAATTCTACTAACAGCTTCCATTGAAATAAGAAATAATACAACTTGGTTAAGCTGCTCACTCACTCTCATTAAGGTGATTTTCTGTTAGGGTCCACAAAAAAAATTAATAGTGTCCATTTGCTAAGAAGATAATAAAACAAAGAGGAGCAGAAATTAGCGGTGCCATGGACACTGGCTAAATGAAAGCATACCTTTCTCTCTCTCCTCCGGTGATATCATATAAGCGGTTGGCACCTCCATCAGCACAGGCTCTTAAAAGAGCTTCAAATAAAAAGAACACAAATCATTTCAATACAGGAAGCACAGAGCAATGTCGTTCAAATAACAAACATTAAAAAGCAGATACTGGGAAGCACACATAGTCACTCTAACCCCGTTGGATCATTTCACGCAAGCTAGTGATATGGTGGGTGCTAAAAGTGATCCTACCCCGCAGTCGACAAGCAAGACAGGATCACCCACAGACCACGTTTAATTCCTTTTCACATCTTTTTCACGCTCTCTGATTCAGTGCAGGAGGAGCTGGTATATGGGGCCAGAGTGCCTCTAATATTTCTTGAAACTCGTTTTTCCTCCTTGGTAACAGGAGGTAGGCCTCAGGCTCAATGGCAGGCAATAGGACACAGCTATTATATTTCCCCCTTTAGATTTTTACAAGTACTCTCTCTTTATGGCCAGTATTATGGGATTCCATTTTTTATTGTGACTTTAAAGTTTCCTTTTAAAAATAAATCATCAACATAACAAGTTTATTTTAAAATATAAATAAAAAAAATAATGTAGAAGCCATGTTGAACAACACACAAAACTGAGTGAGACCTGGGAACTGCTGAGGGACTCCCTTTCCACCTGGGGCTTTCATCTCTTTCCTACATCTTCCCTGGCATTTGCTGGGGCTGATCAATCACTCCTCGGAGTTCTCCCGGGGCATGGAATGCTGACTTCATTGCTGGTGCTTCCTATCTCATTTCTATTTTTCACAGAAACATCCCCTATCTTACCATCAGCTCCGGTTGTCACTCTGAAGCATCAAACTAACACACACTTGGCTAAAGTCATAAGATGATGTGATGGGGTCTGCACATTGAGCTTCTGCTTCCAATCAGTACAGAAAAATAGATGGCCAGCTGGCTCAAGTCCACTCCAAGAACCAACTACAATGTGAGAAACTAACTTCCTTTGAAATTAAAATTAATGACACATGTAACTGAAATTGGGACAGGAGCAAACAAATGGGTGTGGTCTCTTATACATTTGTGTATTCCTGGTGTGTCTAAAACAAAATAATCCTGATGAGTACAGTATCTAAAAAAGGCCAGTGACACATGATTTGTTTTAGGAAATACAAGGTTGTAGGTGGGAGTGAAGTACCATTGAAATAAATAAAAATTCAGTTTCCACAGTGGAGATTTTCCCCAAAATTAACCTACCCACCAGGGTGATGTGTCTTAGGAAACTAAAAAAACAAAAGGTGAAATTACCCCCATCTTTCGTCAGGAAACCTAATCACCTCCTGCAACCATAGATCTGTATACCCCATATGATGTTAAAGCAGGTGTAGGGCAGCTCTCTTGGAAATAAATATCTTTTATTTGGCTGCAAAGTTAGTTATTTGAAACTTGCTCTTGAATAAGAGACTAGCTAAATCCAATACTGTTAATTAGTAGTAATTTTGAGTATATTAAAGTGTGGGCGTCTAATTTCCATTGGAACAACAGGCTCTGATGGTTCTAATTGTACTCCTGTACCTAATCTGTCTTCTCTCCGGGCTACATTTAGGATCTTCCCTTTGTCTTTGGTGTGCTGATTTCATTATGCCTCTTACTTGGAATTAACTGTGTTTCCTAAATCTGAGGATTTATTTCCTTCTTGTATTCTGGAAAATTCTAGACATTTTAACTTGATGAGTTCCTATCTTCGGCTCTCTGTTCCCATCTACCTCCAGGTGCTCCAATGAGATGCACTTTTACACAGTCTCACTCTACCCTTCATGTTTCTTAAACAGTTCATTCCTTTCTTCTCATCTTTCTGCATGTGTGGGTATCTTCTCAAATCTTTCAGGTTATAAAGTCTTTCTTCATTATATTTAATCACCCGTTTAAAACATTCAAATGTATATGCTTATTAATCCTTTTAAAAGTTTTGTTTGGTTCTCTTTTAATCTCAAGGATTTTTCGGGTAATCTGCTGTTGATGTTTTCGATTTCCTCATTTATTGTCTTTTTACAAAATAGTCTTTTGCAACGGGGCATAGTGGTGCACACCTGTAACCTCAGCGACTCAGGTGGCTGAAGCAGGAGGATCACAAGTTCAAAGCAACTTAGCAAGGCCCTAAACAACTTCGAGAGACCCTGTCTCTAAATAAAATATTTAAAAAGGGCCAGGGATGTGACTTAGTGGTGAAGTGCCCCTGGGTTCAATCCCTGGTACTAAAATAAATAGATAGATACACATGGACTCTTTTGCTAGTAGTTTCAGATCAAAATTTTTCTTTTCCTTTTTTTTTGTACTAAGTATTGAGCCAAACCCAGGGGCATTTAATCACTGACCGACCTCCCCAGTCCTTTCTATTTTTTTATTTTATTTTGAGACAGGATCTTTCTTAGTTGCTCAATAAGTTACTGAAGCTGGCTTTGAACTTGGGATCCTCCTGCTTCAGCCTCCCAAGCCACTGGGATTACAGGAGTGCAACACCGTGCCTGGCTCAAATTCACTTTTTAATGGACTCTCTTTTTATTTTATTTATTTACTTTTTATTAGTGCCCAATAATAAAACAAAATAGTGGGGTTCACAGTGACATATTCATATATGCACAAAATAGTCTGCTCCATTTCACTCCCCAGTACTTCCTTTTTTCCCTCCCTCCGTCCCTTCCTGATCCACTTCTTCTAAAACTTTACTTTTTATCCTGAGGCACAGAAGTCGGTCCAGGAATGTCTAAAATTTGATGGGGTGTTAAGGGATCTCCTCATCTGCAACAGACCAAAGCCTTGCCCCCTCCCACACAGCTGTTTAAATCCAAGCCCCAACATCACAGGACAGCCAATGACTGGGACACCAGAGTCTTCAGAAGAAAGAAACCACTCTTTTGAGGTACTTCTTCATTTTATGGCACTTATAAAATCATGGTACCTTTTTACAAATTTAGATATATATTTAAGAATGTTTAAATATATATCTAAATTTGTAAAATTCACTTGCAAATTTTGAGATGTTTAAACAATAGTAGGAATATTAAAAGATAAATAACTGACCACACTGACAGAAATTAAAGCCTCACTTTATTTTTCCACAAATGCTTGATATGTAAGACTATTTCCTGTGTTCTATGTTATGGCAAAAATAAAATAGAGGCCCAATAGGAAAAGCACATATTCACTTGTGTTTAAGTTTTCTCTTCTGTAAATGAGAGTAAAATTAACTGTGAAAGAGGGTTATTAAACAAATAATGATTTAATAATTATATAGTGCTCATCCCAATACTGGAGCACAATAAGCATTCAGGAAACATCATTCTGCTTTCCTTCAGTGAAAATAAAATCTAAAAGACTGTGTTCTTTGAGAAGAAAATTGTAGGCTGCCCAAAAAATGCCAGAAAACAAGAGTTTTTAAAAAGACAACCAAGAAGGATGTATCACTTTACTAATTAGCCACACACTTTATAACTCATGACACTAGAGTTCAAATTATGCCATAAACGTAACTTATAGAAAATCACAGAATATATTGTACATTTCCTATGTTTCAAAACCATCAAAAGCTAAGAGAGACCGATTATCTCATATATAATATATAGCATAAAACAACTAATTAGGGAGATTGGGAAGACTGATTAATAGAAACAGATGGTAAACTATCCTCATAGTATATAAAACAATTCTCCATAAGCAAAATTAACAAGTGTAAAAGATCTTTTTATGTAAAAACTTATTCACTGAAGTAATATAAAAATCTGAGGAGTAGTAGTTTTTAATGGCTAAAGACTAACAAACAGGATGACTTGTCAAGTTTTGCACACAATGTTTCTTAGTAAAGATCTGTTGAATTCAATATTTATATCTATCAAAGGCTGGAAATGTAGCTCAGTACAAGAGTACTTGCCTAGCATGCAAAAGGACTGCTGTTTCAATCAGAACACTGCAAAAATTAAATAAATAAACAAACAGCATTTACACCTATTATGTGCTAGGCTCTTTCTATAAAATAGAAAGATGAATAACAACCAGATCCAACTCTCCAGTGGAAAAAAAATGCAAACAAGAACAAATATGTCCAACACACTATACACTTTGAGTAGGCCTATAATAAAATCATTAAAATGCAATGAGAAGATGAGGAAAGGAGAGATTAATTCCATGGACAAATATGTAAACTGCTTACTAATCCAGTTCAGCTAAGATTCCTGCTGTTTTTAACCATCAAAAATCTGTTTTTAATGTCTGGTATTTCTAACATCTATAATTAAGTTGGTATTTTAGAGCAGTTATAAAAATATAAAAACCTAGATTAAAGGAACTAATTTTGTCCATGTCTATTCCTATTCAAATGGCAAACGGAGCTAAAAATAACCACGAAATTTATAGATTACTCCTGAAATTTATAATTACTCATTACAAACAAGTTGTATGGAGGGATTCAATCTATTTGAAAGGAGAAATAAGTGCCATTCTGTCTGTAAAACTATGTCCAACAATGCATCGTAAAAAATTAACTCCACCTCCTTTAAATTTTAATAAAAATGTTTTCAACAGTTATTTTCCACATATGTAAATTAAACTGAATTCAAAAGAAACCTCTCAATTATACAATGAATGATGTTGGTGAAAGTTCCTACAAAATAATCTGAAAAATGTGTATACAAATATCACTGTTAATGATAGTGACCAACTAAAGATACCATAGGCAGAGGGCATATATGGTATATGGAAAATAAGTTAGTTTTGATAAAACGGATATGCCTCAAAAATATTTGCTTCATCAATGGATTATTTCAAGCATTACTGCTTGAGTTATCTACTAATATAAAAATTCTAAAAACATTTTTGCAGATTTGTCAAATGCAGCAACTTCAATGGTTGAGCAATTGCTTACTATGCATCAAGCTGATAAACAGTTGGAGACTAAATGTCATTAAAATTTTCTACAACAACTTTATATTTGAGCAGTTCCAGTGAGCATGTTAAATATATCCTAAACTGGCAAGTGTTTTAAGTTGGCATAATGTAAGTAAATGATACTGATACGAATGATACAGACACTGT